GTTTTTTCTCCCAAATAATGAACACAGGGTGTCTCCCCTGGGCACTGTGGACCTCAGGGTCGGGTCCTTCTCTGGGGCAGCCCATACTGGGCACCATCGCTGTCCTGCACCCACTCTATCCCAGGGGATCCCCCATCGTGACAGCCACAAATGTCCCCGGACCTCGCCCTGATTGCAGAATCAGCCCTTGATTGAGAACCTTGGCCTTAAAGGGAGAACAAATGAACCTCCAGATAAAAGCTAGCAGAAGGATGTTCACTGAGGCCTTAGGAGAGACACTGAGGGCCCTCGTGGGTCTGGGTCTGGCCTTCCCCAGCTCCGAGTTCTGTCCCTGCTACGTGTGTGTATCGGTTTCCAGCTCACCTGCCCTCAGGACACACCTGCCACAGCCCGCTTTGCTGGGGCCACAGGGACCTCGTCAGTGAGGTGTCTCTTTGCGGTTGGCATGTGGGCGTGTGTTTCTCTGAGGGCTGTGGCCATGCTGCCCACCTGGCCAGGGACCCCCGACTTGAGTCATTGGGAGCCAGCGTCCCTGCCCCCACAAAGGTCGGGACCTTGAGCCCAAAGCCCCTCGCCTCCTCCCTGGCATCTGTGCTGACTCCCAGGCTCCCTGTGGCTCCCAAGACAAAAGAAGGAAGTGGGGACCCAGCCCAGGCATTGGGCAACCCAACGGCCTCTGGCATTGTGCTATAAGAGGAGCCCAGCCATGGGTGGGCCCTGGACCCCACCATGGCCCTCAGCCACCGGCCCTTCAGCCCCACCCTGGCGTCCGTGCTGCTGGCCTTGCTGCTGGGCGGTGAGTGGGCCAGGTGCCCGTCTGTCCAGTCTCCAGGGACGGGTGGATTCTGGGGAAATGTCCACCACGAGATCCATCCAAAGCCCTCCTGGCAGAGCAGGAGAGGCTCTGCTCACTGCTCAGGCCCAGCGTTTCCAGGGGTGGGGAGGATGGGGGCAAGGGGGTGGTGACTCACGCCTGTAATCCCAGCCCTGGCCGTTTGACTCAGTTTCCCATCTGTAAAATGGGCCAAACCCAGTCCTTTCCGCCTGGGGAGCTGTTTTGGGAATTACCTACAACAGGCGAATTCCTGGACGGTGGCTGGCCTTCGGCCAACGCTCTGTGAATATGAATGAATGAATGAATGAATGAGTGAGTAAAAGGGTCAAGGGGTTATTGATGCTGGAATCAGGGGAAGAAAAGAGCATGGGCCCCCTCAGGTCCCTATCCTGAGGGTAATTTTCTTTTCTTTTTTTTTTTTTTAATTTTTAATTTTTTTTTTTAAGATGGGGTTTCACCATGTTGGTCAGGCTGGTCTTGAACTCCCGACCTTGGGTGATCTGCCGCCTTGGCCTCCAAAGTGTTTGGATTACAGGCGTGAGCCACCGCGCCCGGCCTTCTTTTTTTTTGCTCTTGATTTGAGACGGAATCTTGCTCTGTTGCCCAGGCTGGTGCAATCTCGGCTCAATGCAACCTCTGTCTCCTGGGATCAAGAGATTCTCCCTTCGCAGACTCTCGAGTAGCTGGGACTACAGGCATGTGCCACCATGCCCGCCTAATTTTTGTATTTTAGTGCAGACGAGGTTTCACCATGCTGGTCAGGATGTTCTCAAACTCCTGACCTCAAATTATTCACCTGCCTTGGCCTCCCAAAGTACTGGGATTACAGGCATGAGCCAGTGCACCTGGCCCGTGTTTCTGCTTTTCTTTAAAATTTTGTTTTGTTTGAGAGACAGGATCTTGCTCTGTTGCCCAGGCTGGAGTGCAGTGCAGTGGTGTTGATCTCAGCTCACTGCAGCCTTGACCTCCTGGGCTCAAGGGATCCTCCCTGCTCAGCCTTCCAAGTCGCTGTGACTACAGGTGCACACCACCATGCCTGGCTAATTTTTAAATTTTTTGTAGAGGTGTGGTCTTGCCGTTTTGCCCAGGCTGGTTTTGAACTCCTGAGCTCGAGTGATCCTCCTGCCTCGACCTCCCGAAGTGCTGGGATTACAGACATGAGCCACCACCCTAGGCTGCCTGTCTGCTTCTTAAAAGCCTCCCTATCCTTCAGGACTGAAAGCCAACACCAGGGAGCCTTCAGAAATCATCCTAATTGTAACCCCAGGCCTGCGTGCAGAGGCCTCAGCCGGCAGGCGCTGATGGGGTTGCTGCTGGGGAGACGGAAGCTCAGAGAGGCCCAGGGACAGCTCTTTGACCCCCTCCCCTGCAGCCTGGGCACTCCCTGACGCCTGGACTCTCCCCAGCAGGTGCCGCCCGAGCTTCGGAGATCGTGGGCGGGCGGGAGGCGCAGCCACACTCGCGGCCCTACATGGCCTCCCTGCAGTTCCGGGGGACCCGGGGCAGCCATTTCTGCGGGGGCACCTTGATCCACCCCAGCTTCGTGCTGACAGCCGCACACTGCCTGCAGGAAACGTGAGTGGCCACCTCCATAGCCCCTTCCATCCGCCCCACCCTGTTCCTCCAGGCCTGGCCGGGCAGCTCTCCTGCCCAGGAAGGACCTGGCTAAGCTCCGTGTGCTGACCCCATGGCCCTCACCTGGGGGCAGTCCTGGGGGGAGAGCGGGATGGCGCTGTCGGGGTCCCTAGGGGCAGAGCCACTGAGGGAAGGGTCTGTGGCTGCACCCCTGGCCTCGGGAAGAGCCCGTTGTGGGGGCCAGCGAGTGGCCAGGCACCAAGGAGTGACCAGCCCACCCCCGCAGCCCCCACAACCTGGTGAAAGTGGTGCTTGGAGCCCACAACCTGCAGACGCCAGAGCCCACCCAGCAGGACTTCTCCATCGCTCAAGTGTTCCAGACAGGCTATGACGCAGAGAACCACCTGAATGACGTTCTCCTCATCCAGGTGGGTGCGCAGGGCCTCAAGGGCTCCTGGACCCCCCCGTTCCTTCAGCAAGCATTTATTGAGCACCCACTGTATACCCAGCCATGACCGAGGCCGAGGCAGGCTGGGTCCGGTAGCACGGCTCTTTGAACACCAGACCACTCCTCCTCCTGGCCTCTGCCCTGGCTGTGCCTCCGCCCCGGGCACTGTTCCCCCAGAAACCCAGGCGCCCATGCCTCCTCCGGCTTCCCCTGACCCTACTTGAAATGACAAGGACAGCCACAGCCTTCCCCGATTCTCAGTTCCCCACAGCTAGACCGTGTTCCTCTCAGTCAGGGGGCCTTCCTGGCCTCCTCCCACCCCGAAAGATCATCTCCCCAGGGCAGACGATTTTTGTCTGTTTTACTACTGGGTCCATGCGGCTTGGAATAGGAGGTGCTCAGTAAATGCTTGGGGCTGGGCTCTGTGGCTCATGCGTGTAATCCCAGCACTTCAGGAGGCCGGGGTGGGAGGATCACTTGAGGCCGGGCGTTTGACAGCAGCCAGGGTAACATAGTGAGACCCCATCTCTACGATAGAATTTTTTTTTTTTTTGGAGACAGAGTCTCACTCTGTTACCCTGGCTGGAGTGCAGTGGCGTGATCTCGGCTGACTGCAACTTCCACCTCCCGGGTTCAAGTGGTTCTTCTGCCTCAGCCTCCCGGCTAGCTGGGATTTCAAGTGTCCACCATAACTTAGCCCAGCTAATTTTTGTATTTTTAGTAGAGATGGGGTTTTGCCATTTTGGCCAGGCTGATCTCAAACTCCTGACCTCAAGTGATCTGCCCGCCTCGGTCTCCCACAGTGCTGGGATTAGAGGCGGCAGCTACTGCACCCAGCCCACAAAAGAAAAATTTTAAAATCAACTGGGTGTGGTAGTGCACACCCAGCTACTCATGAGCTGAGGTGGGAAGACTGCTTGAGCCCAGGAGGTTGAGGCTGCAGGGAGCTGTGGTCTGGCCACCACATGCCAACCTGGGTGACAGAGCAAGACCCGATCTCAAAAAAACAAAAAGTGCTTTGAAAATAAATGAATGGGCCAGGCATGGTGGCTCACCTCTGTAATCTCAGCACTTTGGGAGACCAAGGTGGGCAGATCACCTGAGGTTAGGAGTTCAAGACCAGCCTGGCCAAC